CTCCTGAGTAGCTGGGACTATTAGACATGCACCACCACACCTAGCTTATTTTTGTATTTTTAGTATAGAGAGAGTTTCGCCATGTTGGCCAGGCTGGTCTCAAACTCCTGACCTCAGGTGATCCACCCGCTTCAGCTTCCCAAAGTGCTGGGATTATAGGTGTGAGCCACCTCGCCCTGCCTGTTTATCATTCTTTTATTGTCTTCAAGGTGTCAGTTCAAATATTATATTTATTTATATAGTTGTTTTCTTATTGCTGAGTTTTGATAGTTCTTTATATATTTATCCAGGCCAATTGTTAAGGCTTTTCAAACGCACGTGTGTGTTCGTAATGTATATGTGGTGATGTATTACTTTTACAATGGTAAACAAACAAAAACAAAAAATAAAACAAAATCCAAACATCATTTCCATATACAATACAATTTTGGCCTATGGTCTCTTTATCATGCAGTAAAGTTGATACTGCATTGCTCCTTTGTGTATGTTGTGTTTTCCTGAAGGTTTTCTGAAAAAGTCATTCTAGTGTGTTTTGGGTTGAGAACATACAGTGACTAATGACTACACTACAAGCTCTGTAAGTGTAGAAACTGTGTTTCCCATTTTAGCTCCAGTGCCTCACACATAATACACATACAATGTATTTAATGCTAATACACAACTTTTTAGGCAAAACGTTTCTGAAAGCCACACTGAAGCATTCATCATTTATTGAATTGAAACATTTCATTTATTGATTTTTTTACTGAGATAGGGTCTTGCTCTCTTGCCCCAGGCTGAAGTGCAGTGGTGTGATCTTGGCTCACTACAGCCAGGACCTCCTGGGCCTAGGTGATCCTCCCACCTCAGCCCCTGAGTAACTGGGACTTCAGGCATGCACCACCACACCAACCTAATTTTTTTTCTTTTTTTCTTTTTTTTTTTTTTTTTGTGTGGAGGAGGTCTGTGTTGCCCAGCTTGGTCTCAAAACTCCTGGACTCAAGCAATCTTTCCACCTCAGCCTCCCAAAGTAATGGGATTACACCCGTGAGCCACCACAGCTATCTAATAAAATTATTTAAAAAAAAAAAAAAAAAAAAAAAAACTGTTGGCCAGGCATGGTGGCTCATACCTGTAATCCCTGTTACAGAGTATCCAGGAGACCAGAGAATCCAATGGGTGAAACAGGAGGATTTTGTTAAGTTGGCCACCAGCTCAGAGGATTAGCATCCCAAGTCTGAGCCCTGGAGAAAGAAAATGGGATACTTTTATACATTCAGGATGAAGCAGCAGCTAACAGGTTTACAGAAGTCAGAACCAAGAACAGTTAATTAATTAATTTGCAACATGTCTTGTGATGTATGTTACATTTAAAAATAGCATTTTTGAGAAACACACTGTACATTCTTTGGTTATTATCTTGCCCTGTGACCTTGCAGCTGCTCAGCAAGAAAAACAGGAGTCTTGAGGTGCCTGGGAACTTTGCTGAGAATGTGGGCAGAATAGATAAGGTAGGTTTTACAGGGAGTTAGTTAATTTTAAGCAGAGCTTGGGGATAGGTTTTATATTAAACAGCATACAACACAGCAAAATTTACTTTATTATATAGCAACTACAAATTATAAGGTTTTGATTTTACTATTATTGCTATTATTTAATTCCCTTCTTCATCCAAGCAATTTGGGAGGCCAAGACGGGCTGATCACCTGAGGTCAAGAGTTCAAGACCAGCCTGACCAACATGGAGAAACCCTGTCTCTACTAAAAATACAAAACATTAGCTGGGTGTGGTGGCACATGTCTGTAATCCCAACTCTTCGGGAGGCTGAGGCAGGAGAATCACTTGAACCCAGGAGGCGGAGGTTGTGGTGAGCTGAGATCGCACTATTGCACTCCAGCCTGAGCAACAAGAGTGAAACTCCATCTCAAAAACAAAAAAACAAAAATCAAAACAAACAAACAAAAAAACTGTCATGGTTGGAAGATGCAGACTGAGGCACAATGCAAACTTCACACTTGACATCCTTAGCAAGCTCAAAGGTGCCAAAGATAACTTTATCCAAATGCAAATGTTGATGCCAATGGATACCACCACTTTGAAAAACATAATGAACAATTGCTTTTTTGCACTCTCAAGATAATCAGTGAGATCCAGGGAGAGGCTACTAGAAAGCCGGTATGGTACAGAAAACACAAAATTGATTTGTGAGACCCTGAGTGACTGCACTGACCTGGGGAATAAGGTTTCAGTTTTGGCTTTGCCACCAGGATGGGCATGTCCCTCAACCTGTCTGGGTTTGCTTCTACATTCCTAGAATGGCAGGAGCAGACTAGATTATCTCTAAGATTCTTTCTCATCCTAATGTTCTGAGTTTTAATTCTTGCTAGTTCTAATCTTTTGCCAACTTAGTGCATGGGGTTGCTTTGCTTTTTTTTTTTTTTTTAATTTAGCAGATATGGTGTCTCACTATGTTGCCCAGACTGGTCTTAAACTCCTGGCCTCAAGTGATCCTCCAGGCTAA